GATTAGTGCTGGTGAGTAGAGGATTAGTGCTGGTGAGTAGAGGATAAGTGCTGGTGAGTAGAGGGTTACTGCTGGTGAGTAGAGGATTAGTACAGGTAAGTAGAGGATTAGTGCTGGTGAGTAGTGGATTAGTGCTGGTGAGTAGAGAATTGGTTCTGGTGAGTAGAGGAGTATATAGTAAAAGACTGTAGGGCAAGATTATAAAGCAAAAAAAAATTCCTGGTTGACATCAATTTTAGAAGTTTTCATTATGATTTAATTGATCTGATAAGTTAAAATAAAAACCAAAAAAAAAAACATAATAGCAACCTTTCTTCCACTTCGAAGTTAAAAAAATGTTTAGTCAAATGCATCTCAGTAAAGACAAATTTGATAAGATTTAATGTCCTGATTTCTGTGTATTTCTAGTGTTGAAACTGTTTCTGCTGGGGATGGAGATTAAGAACCCCACTGTGATGGAGAATGTCACCCTGCCCTGCCTGAAGATACTACAGTCTCTGATCAAACCTGAACCTCCCACATCCAAGAAAAACAAGGTAATAAGATGATATGGTATATTATGTCATTCTGGACAAGACAATAGGTTTTATTTTGCAAAATGTATGAATGGTTGAATAAATGAATGAATGAATGAATTAAATGAATAGATAAACAGATTGATAAATAGGCAAATTTATTTGTTATAATTACTTATTTATTTTATATTTTTACTTAATCATTATATTTGCCACTTCAGGCTTTAAATTTTAAGTCATATTTGAAATATACAGTTCCTTATCCACTGGTGAGATATTCACAGCAAGAAAAATAATATATAATATGTTAACTTCTCTCCATATATCCCAGGATAAGAGCATGGAGGCCCTGAGCAGTGTCCGTACTGATATCCCAGGGTTGAGAGCACATGCCCGGGGGTGGCTGGAGGGAGAACAGGCCTGCTCTTACACTGCCTGGAAACAAGGACAGCCTGCCAAAGGTTAGATCCTGTCTTATATAGTTTATAGGTTCTTAAATAGTATGCAAGTGATCTTGGAAAATTGCATCAGTTTGGAAAGGTTTGATTTGAAAGCAGTTGTATTTTTACTGTATTTGCTGTTAAGCAAAATATGCTCCATTCACAACCTTTTCTTATTTCATGATCATCAGCCCTTATTTTGAAAAAAGTTACTAGATCAAAAGAAAAGTGCTTTTGAAACCATGCAGATTTTATCAGTTCTATAACTACAGTGAGATATGGACTCTGTGTCCACTAATATGTCACTGTAGTCCAAGTAAGATTTGCTTATCATCACATAAAACACATTGTCAAATACATGCAGAGCGACCCTTTTCGAGGCAAAAGGGCCATTTCATTTGCCCCCCCCCCACACACACACACACACACAGACACACACTGGGTACAGGATGGACATATACAGAGGTTTTGTCATTATGTACACAAAACCAATGGAATCCTGTCCACCATGTGTCCAAAGCCTGATTTATAAATGTCTTATTTTAAATATTTGGGAAGATTAATTTGATAAGGGATGCGATCTAATCCTCTCTACTTCACAGGTGATCCTATCATGTAAAAGATTGCCAAGGTTTTAATATGGCAGCCATGGATGATAAGTGATTTGAATGATTAGTGAAAATAAATGTATAAAAATGTAGATGCAAAGTAAAATTGTACACTTATCTAAAATTAAGGAATTAATTGACAAAAAACTTTGATATGCTGGTCAGGATTACAAATAGTATCCACTAAGACATATTTAACGTGTTACATCAATAGTGAATTCATTTCAACGGTTTATTATGAGTATGTCATCCCTTGACCCATCAAACATGATGAAAAACGTTTTCATTATAAAAGTCCATATTTATTTTAGTTCTTTAATTAATAAGCTTAGTTTGTTTTTTTTTTTAAGTGGTGAACTTTAAACAATTGCTTCAAAAACTCAAAGCAGGTGCATTCCTTGCCTAAAGTTGGTTAAACCTACGGTAGGTTCTTCTTTTCTTTAAGTTCCTGCATGTTACTGCCAATTTCTGACAATGTTTTTGAAATTGAAAAAAAAAATGCAGAATTAAACTTCTGATCAGAATGTTAAATTCTCAAAAAGTGTGACAAAATACCCTAAAAGCAGCAGCCAATCTTGGTATCTACAAACAACATAATGACATCAAACAGTGAGATGCATGTGTAGTGTGGAAGAGATCAACTGACCACTGAGAGTAACCAAGGTTAAGACCCCAGTTTATCAGGATCAGTGTCATGGCTGACAGTGTGATAATCTGTGTTTTGGATTGTATATGAGTATGCCACATTAACAGGAATTAATTCTCTTGTTTTGGCTTTTAGTGTCCAGGGGCCCTAGCTAATTTTAAGCCACTGTTTGGGTCAGTCAAATGAAGTAGATATTTGATTTTATTCTGTACAAACACTAATGCCTGATGTTTGTGATGGAGAGGACATTATACCCCACAAACCTGCTAGCAATGTAGAAACTAAGAGAGGTCTCCTTTACAGTGATAGACCCAGGTTAGTTCAGCGATTTGTCAATGGTATTAAGAAACACATCTCTCTGTTGAAGTAGTCGGAGGGATTGTTTTTAGTCATCCAGTGGAATTAGAATGAGAAATATGTACAATTTTGATACACCGGAATTTACTGGAACTCTCTGTATTGTAGATCAGTTTAACCCCAAACTAGATAACTAACTCCCTCCTTATTTCACAAGATTAAACATTAATACCAGGGTATACACAATACCAGTAATGTGACATCAACAGTCTTTTAGACTGGTCACTATTGCTCCACACAGACAGTAACTTTTACCATTAGGGGGAGCACTTTACCAAGTAACCAATAGCCTGATATGTTGTTTTAGTCTCTGCAGTCAGTGTTCTCTCTTAATAATAATATTAATAATACTGTTGCTATAACAATATTTATTTAGAGTCTAAAATCCAAATTTGTTCAGTAGACTCTACAATACAACTTGGAAAAAAATCAATAAAAGAAAAGTTGTCATGTTTCCATGTGGTTACAAGACAGTTGAATATGCTATTACCTGTCTCAGAGGATATATCTTGATCAGTTATCCTGGGAGACATTTTTAGGTGTGGAATATGTGGAAATTTAAAGTTGCATGACAAGACAGAATACAACAATAGACACCACATGCTTTGATCAAATTTATTTCGATGATTTTATTCTTATAAATGCTCATAGCTATTTTAGCAAATTTTGATTGATTAAACGCAAAAAATACCAGATATTTCAGTTGTGGGGAAAATTATTCAATTCCATTACTTGGAGCAATTATTGGCTGTCATACTTGATCCTTCTTAGCAAAAGTTCAAGACGTTAATTACATAGTGCAAACAACACATGCAAGTTCACGACCATCAACATAATTAGGACATGGAAGAGACCCACAGGCAGCCTCTACATTGTACAGTAGCCCGCCATTTTGGTTGCCCTTCCCTGATGCATCGATCTCTGGCATTTCATCCACACAGATGTACTGAGCACGCCTGTGGCTGTAGTTTTCTGCCATAAGGTACCCCTTGTACTCCATCAGCCAATCCCCGGGGCAGGAAGTTTTGGCGGGAATCATCAGCTTGGTTGGGCGCCCAGGGGTGTGGCAGACGGCACAAACGGCATCTTGGTCATGGATGGATTTAATGCCAGGAGGAATGTTCTGCTTGGAGAAGAAATCATTTGGCATCATGTTCACCTCATATTCCACGCCATACATGCGTCCATATGACTGGAAACCATCAGTGTAGTTCAGCCATGATGGGTCACGTGGCAGGCAGAGGTAGTTGCTTCCTCCACCATGAGTGTAGTAGGAACCACCAATGACACCTTAAAAGGAATCAATACTCTTACTTTTTTACACTTCAGAACTTAATAATTATTCTTTTTGATGACCTTAGGATAAACCTAAAATACAAGTTCATACCATTTTCTGTTATTTTCAATTCTCTCTGCATATTAACAAATTTATTTGTTATCAAGTTATCTATTTATAGTCATGGAGCAGTGCAATGTCAGCATACCTTCATATACAAGACTAGCTGTGTAAGGGCAAGAAGACCTCCCCCAGCGGGTGTAGACTGACCCCCCAGATCCTGTCCCTACCCCCAGGTTATTGCCTCCTTCTCCTGTACCTGTCAGCTCTAAACAGAAATTGCATGAAAATGAATGCAAAGATTTGAACATTTGAGCATTCAAAAGTCTTGACCTTTGATAAGAAAAAAGCCATTCATATGTTATACATTGTTGAAAATCCATAGGGTGCATACTTAAGCAAAATTTCAAGGTATGATATAAAATATATAATTTGGTGGTAAACAGTAAGAAAAAGTTTTTGTAATTACCTTGCAGTATGTTGACCTGTTTCCCTTTGAGCAGGGATAGTATTTTCTGCAGGTCCTCCATGGTGATTGCAGTCCCAGAGGGACCAGGTGCTCCTCTAGGCCCTGCAGGACCCTGGGGAATACAGACAATAGATGGGTGTAAAAAAATAATACTGATGGGAGTTTTTATCTTCAACAAGATAGACTTTGTTTTTTATGGATTTAGAAGCATAAATAAGTACAAAAAGTTTAATTTAGGTAATTTTTTCTGACAGAGGTAGTATTTTGCCCAATCATTCAGAATAGATATTATGTACTAGGTATTTTTCAAAATATGTTCTTAAAGTCCAAAATAACAGAAAAATATAGTAAGTAAGGAATCGCTTTGTATATACCTGGATACCTTGTATCCCGTCTCTTCCATCTCTGCCTGCAGGACCCTGTGGTCCCCTCACACAGCAGGCACCCTGACAATCTGAGGGATTATAAAATAATATTAACCCCTGGCATTTGACTTGATTGGAATAGAAACCTCTGTATTGTTAAAAAAAGATTTTAGGACACTTTTTTGACCAGAAGAAAAACCAGTAGTTAAGAGATGACATTCTAAGTGATAGAAGTAGTGTACCTGAACTATTGGTTTTAGGTGGAACTTGGACTGTGGGAGCTTGTCTCTTAGTTCTTTTTTCTACAGCTAGCTGATTTTCTCCCAGGGTATTTAGGAGGCCCTAGGAATAGTTGAATATTTATAAAACAAGAGTCCTTAGATTTCATTATGAAATATTGATGGAGAAAGTACTGTTGTTTAAAAGAAAAAAGCTGTAATTCTACAGAACTTCAGTGAAAACGATTAGAAAATTTTGTGGAAAAATTCTATTCCATTTTTTTCAATGCTTCATTGCACCCGCTAGTCTGATATTATTTCTGACCCCACTCTCCTCTAAATCCTGCAAAATCTCTTGATTTTAGTGTATAGTAAGTTGCAGAGCTTTGGGCTCTCTGAAATGCAACCAAATCAAGGTAATAATCTGAACTTGCTACCTTTAGCTGTTTGTTTTCCTTGATCAGTTCTCTCTGTTCTTTCTCCAATATCTCCAGCCGTTTCAGGACCTCACTCAGTCCATTGACCTCCTGGTCAGTGGGCACAGCACTGACCATCAGATGGACAGAGAAGAGACACAGGCAGATATAAGCCACTTGATACATGATGGGTTGCCAGTAAGACTGAGCTCAGTCTGCTTGGCATCCAGGGTTAATACTGGGGCTGGTGCCACAAAAGATGTTATGTGGACAGTTGGTCTTAAGTTAAGGGGGCATTCAGATAAACCCATCGTACTAGCTGGATAGATCCAACTCCGCGGAAGATTCTCCCAAAGTGCAAACACTGTAATCAGCTTATTTGTCTGGCTTATTAACTAGCTACACAGAGAGGACTATCAGACAGTTAAGCTGACTACACTGAATGGACTTTACCAGGAATTCCCCCAAAGAGTTGGATCAGTCTAGCTGGTATGATGGGTTTATCTGAATGCAGTCCAAGACTAAGAAATTTAGCTTACTTTTATCCAAGGTATATCTGCTTTAGTCCACTAAATTAAAGATATTGGGCCCGTTTCATAAGAGGTGGAAAATGGCTAATGTTTTAGACTAATGGCAACTTTATTTCAGTGGACAAATACAGGTTTAGCCTAGGTTGAAGGCAACTTAAATTTAAAATCTTTAAGTTAAAACCAAGTTTGGACCAAAGATCTTTTGTGGTGACAGGCCCTGGATTTTTGTCCTGCTATTTACCAAGCTGAGACAGGCATGGGTGATAGCTGGAGGTTATTTATTTAGTCAGATGTTTACTCTGTTTGAATAGACTGATAGTAACTACAGTCCCTATATGATAAATAAAAATTATCAAACACAAGCCAAACAACTTTCATACTGTTAGCTTATGGCCAACCTGGATGTAAGCCTTCATCAGACTGATGTAAGCCCAGGGTATGAAAGTTTTTCCGCTTGTTTTTGATAAATTTCATTTGAGATCCAAATGCCAAGCTAATGAACATTTTTGCCCAGTCCCTACATGATTTGAAAAAATGTAACTTAATGCTTACTATTGGAGTGCTTAGTTTACAACAGAATTAGAGAATCGTGGCTTATCTGTCTTGAAAACATTTTTCATTTTGGGTTGTTAGCATTGCCAAAAGTGTAAGGTGATTGTTAGCATGTGTGCTAGAATTGCCTATCTGGCTTTGGCTGGGAACTGTGAAGTCTGACTAGCCTTGACCTTGGGGAAACAAATCTCCATTATCACTACCCCTTCTAAAATACTAAGACTTATGTTTTCATTTTATGGAACTAGGTCACATATAAATTTTACCGTGAACCTTCAACACTGGGATGAATCCATGCATTTGAAAAAGTGCGATGCCCCTTACTCACTTTGTGTATGGATTGGAAATTCATATGCAAATTCAGTAATCATATTTACTAGAATCATATTTTGTAAATATGCATAAAAATGTTTTGATGAGATAGTTGGCATTATGCCAGAAAGTGTAACTGATAATGAAATATATGCCATTTTTATTGATGAAATATTATGTGAGTGACATGTCTTCACATTCACATCTGAAAGCACCTTATACAAAAGAAAAAAGAAGCAGTAATTATGTTTCAGAATCAAATTTATTTTCATTATTGCTAACAAATAATTTGATGATTTGAATACCTTGGAATCTAATAAACATGAAAACACTTTGCTGGTGTTTTTGCAGAGAAGTGATGTATTTTATTCAAATTGATAAAGAATTTTTAAACATTCTTTAAAGATTTTGATGACTAAGTGTACTTGTATAGATAATTTGAAGTGAGTCTCCATTTTAAGTTTTTTACAGAAGCATATTTTTATGAAGGATAATTTTTTTAGTTTTATAGATTCTAATAGCATTTTCAATCTTAATTACTCCTTATTCGAGTTATAAAATTAAATCACAATGTGCAGACAACACATGCCAATTCGCGGCCATCAACATAATTAGGACATGGAAGAGACCCACAGACGGCCTCTACATTGTATAGCAGCCCGCCATTTTGGTCTTTCATCCCTGCACTGTCGATTTCTGGCACCTCATCCACACAGATGTACTCGGAACGCTGGTGGTTCTTGCTCTCCGCCATAAGGTACCCCTTATACTCCATCAGCCAGTCCCCGGGGCAGGAGGTTTTGGCAGGAATCATCAGCTGGGTTGGGCGCCCTGGGGTGTGGCAGACGGCACAGACAGCATCTTGGTCATGGAGAGATTTAATGCCTGGAGGAATGTTCTGCTTGGAGAAGAAATCATCTGGCATGACGTTCACTTCATATTCTACACCATACATACGGGCATATGTCTGGAAACCATCAGTGTAGTTCAGCCATGATGGGTCGCGTGGCAGGCAGAGGTAGTTGCTTCCTCCACCATGACTGTAGTAGGAGGTTCCCATAACTCCTAAAAATGGACAATGTCATTGAAGTTTTGTATGATTTATTTGTAGTATTTTTGATTATACTTTGGAAAAAAAATTGTCATTTTATTGAATATTATTGAATATTTGAAGAAGAAATTGAAAAAAAAAATGCCAAGATTACATTTCCAAGCCAGCCTGTGGAGCTATCTCTGGTTAAAAACAGTCTCTCAATATCTAAGTCGTATGTCTAACATAAGGCTTGAAATACATACCTTCATAGATAAGATTAGCAGTGTAAGGGCAAGAGGACCGCCCCCAGCGGGTGTAGACTGACCCCCCAGATCCTGTCCCTGCCCCCAGGCCACTGCCGCCATCTTGACCATCCCCTGTACTGGTCAGTTCTGTAGGGAAACAGAAATAGTATATTGAACATGACTTCTCTCACAGTAATAGCAGTTCCATATCTTTTAGTTAATGTCAGAAGCAGCACAAAGACTTTTCAAAGATTAGTAATCATATGAAACAGCCATTTACTGTTTTAAAATCCAAATTTTTGTCATGACAGTTTGTTGATAACAGTACTCTGAATATTTTGAATATGACATACAAAGTAAATGTGCAAAGTAATCACCTTTCAACACATTGACCTGTTTTCCTTTGAGCAGGGCCAATATTTTCTGCAGGTCCTCCATGGTGATTGCAGTCCCAGAGGGACCAGGTGCTCCTCTAGGTCCTGCAGGACCCTGGGGTATACAGACCATAGACAGGTGTATTATGGATAAAAAAGTGATCCTAATAGGAACTTATTTTTCTTTATTAGGATGGATTTTTTTTTTTTTTTTTTTTTTTTTTGAATGAAGAACAGTAAAAAATACAAAATGCATGATTCAGATTTTTTTACGTGGTAGTATTTTAAATTTAAAATAAAAAGGAAAATATAGTAAATAAGAAATGACTTTGTATATACCTGAACACCTTGTATCCCATCTCTTCCATCTCTGCCTGCAGGACCCTGTGGTCCTCTCACACAGCAGGCACCCTGACAATCTGGGAAATTATAAAATAATATTAATCCCCAATTTACATTTTACATAGCTAGAACCCCAACAGAAGTAATTATACTAATTTTTATTATCATTTATGTATTTAGAAATGCAATTTAGAGTTCCAAAATCTTCAGAATCTAAAACCAATTTATAGAAAAACACTAACAGTGTGCTAAATTAATGTTATTGAAGTGTGATAAGGTTCAAACATCCATTCAAACAACTGCTTTTAAGTACTTCAGTTTACCTGGATCAGTAACATTGCTGATAAGTTGAGAAGCTATATTGAAGAATATTCAGTAGCATTTTTTATAGGCTCTTGGATTAATTTTATTATTTTTCTAAATTTGTACTAATGCCCAGAGTGTAATCTAATGGTTAAAAACTTAATTTTAGACCAGCCAATACTGATAAGTTAGTTAATGAAATATGGCTATCTA